GTGGAAAGGAAAGACAATAGACAGCTACCATGTGGTGGGAGGGGGCTTTAGATCTAAAAGCCACTACTCTTATCCCTGGCTCCAATTACTGGAGACTAGTTTCTTTTGCATCTCCAACGTGGCCCTTGTTGCTCTCTGATCTCTTTCCTTGACTGTCTTGGATCCTCACCTAGGCCTTTGGGCCATTTGGTTTCTTTGTAAGGAATAAGTGAAGGGGGAGGGCTTATTAGGAAGGCAGCATACTTAATGATTAAGGGGGCATGTGTACACGTGTGGATCTGGTGCAGTATTATACTGATGCTACAAGTGAGAATATATATACATGGCTATATGCATAGATGTATGTGTGCATGTCTTATATATTAAGTAAGAGTTTTTAGGTGTCTGTCTCTTATTGCCCTTGCAACTTGTTAGGTGGGTGAAGGTCGTTGGCTTTCATGGTAATTATGTTGTCTGATGCCTCTCCCAAGTCTAGCTAGCTTTTCTTTCCTTTATCTGTTTAATTATCCTAACTGCAGTATCTATCTGTGAAGGCAAAAATGGCTTTTAGTGGTAGAGGCAGAAACTGCTTTTAATAAGCTCAGCAAGGCCTTTATCTTATCTTTCCCTACCTACAGTGCCCCCTGCCCCTACTGTCAGATACTCCAAGTTCTTGTTTCCCATTCCAGGAATGAATTCTAAAGAACAACAGAGGGTAAGAATAGGAAAAACTTACTGAGAAAGATAGCTCCTGAGAGACTGGAGGGGACCCAAAAGTGGGTTTCCAAAGAGCCCACTTCTCAAAAGAAGTTTTTTTTTTTGTTTTGTTTTTTTGTTTTTTGGTTTTTCTCCGGTACCAGGAACCGAACTCACGACCTTGCGCTTGCCAGGCAGGCGCTTTGCCACTGAGCTAAATCCCCAGCCCCTCAAAAGAAGTTTTATAAAGCAAAATCACTAGATGGGTACAACATGGGTCAAAACTATGATAAACCAGTAAGGTTACAGGTATAACTGCTTAGGTAACATTGATCCAATGGGAAGCAGATCACATAACAAATATACATGGGAAGAACAAAGACCTTTTTAGGAAGGGATGGGTCACCCACCTGGTCCTGGTCACCCACCTAGGGCAGTGGTGTGTATCTACACTTTATTAGACCAGGTGATATAATTATCTTATCCCCTGGGGGGGTATGGACCTCTAGTCATTCTGTCTTTATCCTGAGGCCTGGCCTCCAACAGATGCACCTCCAACCACAGTTGTGTGTTCTCATCTTCTTCATGAACTCCCTCAGTGGCCTAGCCCTTTGACTGCCTATAATATTTTGACCTAACTTAGCTATCTATAATACTACAAGCCAAATATGATTCTTACCAACAAAGATATTGTTATGGTAAATAAAATATGAAACAAACTTGGAATCATACACTATTATGGAATTACAAACTATGAGAATTTCATATTGAAAGAGGGGAAACTCCCAACCTGCTAGATGTCCAGTGCAAGTTTCTGTTCTCTAACACTGAAGAATAAGTTTTAGGAACAATGGTAGTTAGGAGCTGAATATATTTACTAAGGGAAAGAAAGCTTCCGTCTGAGAGAAAGACAGAAGGGGACCCCATTGGTTTGCCCAGGACCTGCCTTTTCCAGGGATTTTTATAAAGCAAATCCATGACATGAGGCAGGTCCAAGGTGGGCAAAGTGGGAAATCACAAGGTGGGTATGAGGTGAGACAAAATTGTGGTCAACCAGTAAGATTATGAGTATAATTGCTCAGGTAAAATTGATTAAATCGGGATCAAATCGAGAAGCAGGTAATCTAGCAACAGGGCATGAATACAGAACAGGGGCTTATCCTGTAGGGGGCTGGATTAATGGATCTTTCTGGCTTTCTCAAGATGACTGATACCTATTCAGAATATTAATCCCTGATGTTTATTGTTAGGAAATACGTGGGTGCATTTGTTTTATCTTTTGTCTTCAGATCTGACCCACAGCAGAGGTGCCTGTCTCTCCCACAGTTGTAAGGTATCTCCTCTTCCGCACTGGCTCTTTTGAGTGCCTAGGCCTATGTGACTGCCTATACTATTTTTATCTAACTTATTTGCCTATAACAAATGGCCAAATTGTGAAATATTGATAGTAGCTAGTGTTGTCAAAAGGACACTTGCTTGTTGCTGGTCACAATGCAAAATTCTGTCACTTTGCAGGACATTTCATGTCTTACTTTCAAGTGAAATTAAACATCATTTCCTTGTAAAATCCATTACTTGGGTTCCTTAATCTGTACTCAATTTGTTTGAAAAGTTAGGGTGAAACAAAAAGCCTACAAACATACAGGAGTTTATTTTTAATTACAACATTGGAGGGCAGTAAAGGTGTACTTTAATAGATGAGTGGATAAAGTGTGGTATATCCCTACTGCTATCCCTTATGTCCAGATGTCCCCACAATGCCTCATGAGGTCATAGGTGGGGCTTTTTCATAAGTGGCTGAAACTAGAGTGTATGACACTGGAATTGATTCATGGTGCAGTGCTGAGGTCAAGGGCATTAAGGATGTGAATGCTACCCACCCTGAATATCCTGGGTAAGATAAAAGGGACAGAAAGATGCTGTTAAGGTCCCTTGCTCACTTTGCTGCCTTCTGGTTCTAATGTACTGTTTCTTCTCTGCAATACTTGTCTGCCATCCACCCTGTCTTTGAACCAGCCAGTTATGGACTGAAACCTCACCAAACTGTGAGTAAATAAATCGTTTTCCTTTAACTTTGAATGTTGGGTATTTTGACTCAGCAACAAGAAATGTAATTAAGATACCTACATGGGAATATAATTCTGAGTTTTAAAAAAGCAGCTATCAAGTTATGAAAATCCATGGAAAAAGATTAAACACATATTGCTGAATTAAGGAAGCCAGTCTCAGAAGGATACCTATTTTAGGATTTCAACTGTCCAATTGCATAATATTCTGGAAAAGGGAAAATGTGCAGATAGTATAAATAAAAAATCAGTCTGTCCGTCAATCAATCAATCAGTCAGTCAGTCAACCAAACAAAGCCACAGTGATTTCCAGTAGCTTAGGAATAGGTAGATCATAGGGGATTTTTATTTAGGAAGTGAAATTATTTTACATGAAACAATCATAGTGAATATTACCTTATGATATTATAGGAAATAGGACCAAACAGTTTTATGAGTTTGTATTTAATAAACCCCAGTGTATTTGTTGTACCCTAAAGTACAACACAAAAAGTAAAACTTCTGTAATCTATGGAGTTAAAATTGTACAAGTCATACCATATTCTACAACATGTTAATAGATGAAGTAGTGTGTAAGGTCATGAAAGATGGGCTTGGGGACTTATTCTGCTTTTCTGGCCCACTTTTTCAGTACACTTAAATTTGTTCTTAACAATGTTTATTAAATTACTGGGCACATATACCCTCAGTGTATAAAAATGTCACATGACTGTACACATTAAGTTTCAAGAGAGATTTCCTCATGGGAATACAAAGCTGATACAGTAATCATTTTCTTCTTTTGGGTTCCAATTGTAATTTGTTTTGTCTTTTTGAAACAGGTCTCACTATGTAGTTCAGGCTGGTCTTGAACTCACTTTGTAGCCCAGGTCTCACTATGTAGTTCAGGCTGGTCTCAAACTCACAAAGATCCTCTTCCTCAGCCTCCTGTGTGCAGGGATTGCAAGCATGTGCCACTATGCTCAGTTATTTCAAGTGTAATTGAACATCCCCCTTCTGTCCCTTTTTCCACTCAGGTAAACCTTGCTGACCTGTAATATTATTGTTTCAACTTTTCTAATATTTGTTTGTATCATAACCTTATTCATAACATATGTCTGTTGTAGGGAGTGGTTGAAGCTGGAGAATGATCACACGTGGAGGGCTAGAGCAAGACCAGTCACAAGAGCAAATAGTGCCCATGGCGAGCCAGGTGAACAAACTGCTCCAGTCCAAAGAACACCAAGCACCCAAGACAATCCAAGCAATGGTTTGCTAAGCAGAGGGCTGTCATGTGACACCACCCTGCTTAACGTATAAGTAAAGGTGCTGCAGTGGTTGAGCAGTTCCTTTTCCTTCCATTAGGAGAGAGGGTTCCACCTGATCCTAGCTTTCATTTCTTCACATTCTCACTGCCCTTCATGAGCTATGCAGGCTATGACAGTCTGTACATACCTTTAGCTGTCTTGGGATCCTCAGATTAAATTGTACATTTTTAGAGAGATAATATACTGCTACTAATTCCCTTTCCCCTCAGTTACCACATAGGCATCTGGAGTTTGTGTGTGTGTGTGTGTGTGTGTGTGTGTGTGTGTGTGTGTGTGTGTGTGTGTGACACTCAGAATAGTAGAAAATAGGAAAATTGAGATCAGAGGCATGTCATACACAAATTTAAGAAATGTTAAATTTTTGTCATATTTGCTCTAATTATTTTGTTGAAATATTGCAAATTCCTACCTTCTAATACAAATATATAATAGTAAATGTTTCAATAAGTATCTTTTTTGGTACTTGTGTGTTTACAGTGTTGAAAATTGAATGTAGGCTACCTTGTAAGTCCTTTTAAATTTTTTCATTTTGAGACAAGGCTGTTAAGTCTTGCTAACTAGCCCAGGAAGTTGTTTCTTTTGCCTCAGCCTCTGGGATTATATGCGTGCTCCACACCACCTGGCTTTCAGCATATATTATTTTCAAATAAGAACAATTTCCTTTTTTGTCCAGATACCTTTATGAGCCTAAGAAAAATGTAGGTTATTTTCTTTAATTTTTCAGAAGCTCAGTCATATTCGTAAATCTTGAAGTGTTAAATGAGTACAGCTGTTTTTTTTTTTCGCCGACCAGGAACGATGGAGAATCCCTTGAAGCCTTGGGATACTTAGGTTTGTCACTTAAATCCTCACCTGCTAATAAGGTGGGGCACTTAAAAAAAAAAAAAAAAAAAATCACATCTTAGGACGCAGCGCCTTGTGGGAATTGTAGTTCTCGACGTCACGGGCCGACAGCGCAGCATTGTGGGACCAGATCCCCGCGGTGACTGCGCTCGGGCGAGCAGGCCGCGGCCCCGCTATTCGCCGGTCCAGAGGAGAGTGCCACTGTCGCTGCGGCGTGGAACCTGTGAGGCACAGTGGCGGCCCCGGGTTCGGCGCGCAGTGACCCGATTCCGCGCGACCGGAACATCGCCGGACAGGTGAGCTCGGCGCTGGGCGGGGCCGGGCCCGAGGCGGACCGGGCGCGGGACTGCGCCGCCCGGGCACGCGCTGCGGTCACGTCCTGACTGACGGGTTGGGCTTGGGCGCCCCTCATAGGGACTCCTGCTGTTATTTTTTAAAATTCCCGTGTAGGAGCGAGCTGCTATCCTCATTGCCAGACACCTGTCCCCTTTGCTTGGTGTTTTATTGCCTCTTCCGGGCGCCTCTACTCGTTATTAAAGTGCCATTAAAAACAAAAAAAGAACGGTTTTCGTGGCGGTGGATGCTCAGGACATAAAGAAGTAGGTGAGAGGAAGACTTCGAATACAAACGTAGATTTTTCTCTCTCTTTCTCCTCCTAATATCCTACCTGCTTCCTAATATCAAACCTAGAGGTGCCACTACCACCTTAAAACCTTCAGGACACTCACGCAGAGTGGCAGTCCCTAAATCGCTAGGTACACAGGTGAAGGGAGTGTGCCCAAAATATTACCATGTGGTACCTGGGGTTTGTGGGCTCTGTGCAGAGCTCCTGAGTCAGCTGAGGCTCCTGAACCGCTCTGCACTGTTCAGGGTGTCTCAGTCCCCGACCGCACAAATCGGCACTCTGTTCTTGTGCAGTGATACCCACTAGGAAAGAATGGCAGACATAAAGGTAATTTGGGAGTTTTTAGTAACTACAGTTTAAAAGGAGAAAAGGGGATCAGGAAAAGTTAATTTCACTGATGTTAGTTCATTTAGCTCATTGCCCTGAAAATAGTATCCTGGGGCACTGGCCCAGCCTTCAGGGGGCTCAGTAGCTGCATGTGCAGTTCAGTAGCTACACGGCTGGGTAGCACACTTGTAGTGAATTGCAAGATTCAAATTTCGGGTGTTAGATGAAGACTTCCCATAAAGTGAATTTATTTCTCAGGCCCAAGTCCCAGGCCCTCTGGAGCAAAGCAGCTCTTGTATAAAGCAGGACATGTCATCCCAGAAATTGCTCCCACCTGGAAGACTAGCCATTTTGACAGAGACCCCTCCATAGCGTCCCAGCAGAGGCAGAAGACTGTAAAAAGAGCAGGTCTTGATTTCCTGTATAGCATGTGTCAGAATGGTCATATCACCATGTCCAGGTGCCATCACAGGCTTGTGGTCACGGATGCTGTAGACCAGTGTGCAGAAGGGGACCATCTGAGCTTGAAAGGGATGGACCACTGTCAGGCTGAAAGGTAAAAGCTGCCTTAGTGGAGGGCTGGTTGAGGGCATGATGTCTGGGAGAAACAACCAACTGGCAAAATCCTAAACAGCACTCGTTTCTCTCATTCTCCCCTCACTCTTCACAGATTGGGAGCCACTTTCACACCATATCCAACACCACATGTAGCACTTACACATACGCTGATGCTCCTTCATTAGTGAATCTAGAGAATGACAAAATGATAGTAGAGGAAGTTTTCTATAATGGAAGCTCAAAAATACAGCACCTGAAATGAAAGACTTTTGTAGAGTCCTCAGGAGGCACAGAAGCAGGAACTAAGCACACTAACACAGGTAACTGCCATAGCATCTTATAAAAAGACAATTTTTTAGAAAAGATAAGTACTGTATAACAAATGAAAATATATTTCTTGCACAGAATAGCTCATCTTGATTTTAATTTTCTGTGGAAATTCTGAGTCAGGGTGTAAAGGCGATAGGAACTCAATAAGCCAGTTTGAGCTGTTCTTGTGACATCATTCGTTTTGATGAAGTTGGAGAGTTTTATTCTGTGGCTGAGCATGTTTAACCAATCCTCTCATATTTTATTTTGTGAATCAGAAGGGAGTTTACACTGTTAATACTTGGATGAAAAGCAGTGTTGCCTCACTTGGTGACAGTGCAAGCCCACACAGTGGTGTCAGTGATGCACAGATTCTGGTGCTACTACCTCCCTGTGATCCTTCCTGTCCATTCTCAAGGCCCAAAGGGATGTGCCCTCTCAGGAAGCCTTTTATCCAGCTGATGTGGTAAGATTTGTAGGCAGGTGAATGTAGAAAATATAAGGCAGACCGGGTCTCTCATCGCCTCGTTTCTCTGCCTCCTCAGCTGAACCTTCACAGTTCCATACACTCTCCTGGCAGCTGCAGAAATGAGCGTATCTCAGGTAAGATCAGTTTTTAATAAGCAGTTTATTTTACAGTAGATTATAAAGGATGCTAGATCTGTACATCCACATGGAAAAACAGAAGCAAATGAATCAGATACCTTCATAGAAGGTATAGAAATATACAGGAAAAGTGGAGTGAAAGTAACATGTGGATAGATGCTATTACAAATTTACTACATTGAGCTCCAAATTTCTTTCTGAGGTATTTGATAGCTATTGAAGGGTGTTGGAAAGACAACATTTAAAGATTTACATTGATGAGAAAGCTAAATCAAATGACTTGCTTTCTCATGGAATGTAAAAGTGAAGATAGATATATTTGCTGTTCTTTAAGAGTATGACGTGCTAAACTAATATAAAATGTTGTGTCCAGTTGTTCTTCAATAGAACTAGTATACAGGTTGTATTTAATGCTAAATGCAAACTTGGTCAAGACTGTTTTTATAAGAACTCAAACATAGAGGCCCTCGGAGCCGGCCGAGCAGGCTCCCCCAGCCCCCCGCGCCTTGCGCCCAGGCAGCGAGTTCTCCGGGAGCGGCAGGGCTCCTGGGTCCGAG